AAACACAACCTAAAACTCTATAAAATACTTGGTAAAGCCTTGCTGTGCAGAAAAATTAATCACGTGGGTACCGTCCTTTTAAAACTACGCAAGGCATGGAGCATTAATGGCGGAAATTCGTCGGCGTATCTGGGTTAAAGCAGTTTTCATAATGAAAATAGATGAAGTGGTTTTTGAACTCATAAATAATTTATAAAAAGACCACAAATAAATAATCAATTAGCAGCACCTAATGAATAGTTAGGAATTGAAAGGTTCATAAATTATTAATGTTATTTAATTTGAAGTTGAAATTCATCTCACTTGTTTAAAAAATTCAGTGGTGCACCTAAGGGAAGGGAGGGAAGCTCATGGGGCTTCAACGTTTTCTAGAATCGAAAGACATTTATTATCTCGTTTGAATACGTTACACATAACTGTAAATCAACAAATAAAAATGCATTTTAAGTTCAGAATCAATTAAATTTGGATATAATCTGTTAGACATTCATCCAAAACTCCCTGTCCATTAGAAAAATACGTGTTGCACCACTAAATAAAAGGACAATTTAAACACTAGTAAAGAATGTCTTCCATGAAACGTTGACATTTTCTTTTATAGCACAACTGTTTAATATCATTATCATACTGTTTTACTGAATGAATTTTAATGCAAATTTTAAAGCATTGATATTTTAAAAGCATAATAAATTTCTAATATTGCTAATATAATGTCTTACACTAAGTCAACTAAAAGGAATTAACTAAATGTTTTAAACGCGTGGTCTATGTTAATACTTTCAAAGTAATGAAGGTAGGCCAAACCATTGACTAGCTTATTCGTCTTCGGCACACGTGTTGTGTCGAGCGAGTTTCAGAACGAACTCTAGTGTGTGTTGTACTAGCATTTCGATAGCAACTGGGAAACATCTCCAACTCCAAACGAGCGCTGTTAGACCGGGGTATCAACCCATTGAGGGATTACATCCGAAATCATTCAGAAGTGCTCATCCAGAAAGTGAGATACGCCTTTCGTACGGGATGAGGCTACATGGCGATTTTGTTACTCGCCATGAGGCCAATGCCGCGTTTCCTATCAAACATGAGGGAAGTCGTAGGCCTCTGCGGCCAGAGACTTGGAGTGCTCTTGGGGCCCGTACAGTTAGCAGAGCAACGTTTTAAAAAGTATTGAACTGAAACTAAATGTGTGTAGCAATTTTGTTGCTAATTAATTGCGCAAAAAATTATCGCTCTTCATTTTACCCTGTTCGGCTAACTTGACGTAAAGTTTGCACCGCAATCTAAGGAAAACCAAGAAATTACAGTAATAATTTAAAAAATAATTGTATGGGAATTTGTCGATTTTTTGTTGGTCAATAGTTCTCAAAACAGAAATTTTGATGCTCATTAAATAATAGTACAAATGTAATTTTTCGCAAATACTGTGCTAACTTCATGTCCAAGTTAGCCGAATGTTTATAGCAGGGACAAATGAAGAGCGACAACTTTTAATTTTGCTTATCAAATTAAAAACAAAAAAGCGAAAAATTTGGAATTTGATTTACTTTTTTTTTAAACTTTGCTATGGTAACCTGTGTCCCTGGAGTATCCCCGCGGCGAAGGCGGTGACGTCAGTAGCGTAACGAAATAAGTGCCCCGCCCACCCGCCCACAAAACTTTTCTCCGGGCTCTCTTTATAAAAGTGCATAGCAAACACAATTAGTAATTTACACTTTAAATAATAGAAATATATTTTAACGAATCATCTCTCTATGATTACTACATACGAAATCCATGTACCCAACGGATTATAACGCTCTCTTGTACGTGGGCCCGCCGGCAACGGGCCACTGGGTGACGCCCACGTTTCAGCCCTCTTGCCGCGGCCTTCTTCAGGGCTGGCGACATCCGGACACCCAAGACCACTCGCAAACAACATTCGAGTTCGCACGGCCAGTTTTGGCTGCGGCCGGTTCACTTGTTCCCCGGCTGGGCCTCCTCTCTCCCGGTGAGCGTAGGGATCCGGTCGCGTCGTCCGAGGCGGGCAACCCCAAGAGAGAAAAGGATTTTTTCCCCCGCTTTTGGGCCCCCTCCTCCTCTCCGGGTTTGGAAGCGTAGGGGGAAATCCGGGGTTCGCCGTCCCCCCGTCCGAGGCGGGCGCCGCCCCTCCCTGCTGCAGAAGGCGGGTCCAAGCGGCCTTCCGCAAGGCGCGGGGAGCTGCGCTGTGTGTAGTAGATTGTGAAGCTTTGTGCCGGCAGGACAGCAGCTCCACGGCGACCTTTCCCCTCCTCCCCCCCCCCGTCAGATGC